AATAGAATAGAATAGAATAAAATAGAACAAAATGGAATGGAATAGAATAGAATAGAATAGAATGGAATAGAATAGAATAGAATAGATTAGATTAGAATAGAATAGAATAGAATAGAATAGAATAGAATAGAATAGAATAGAAGTGATGCGTTTTTTTCATAATGCACATAAAAAACAATTACAGAGGTTCCTCAAATGCATCATAAAAATATAAAAAAATTCAATACAGAAACAAAAAACATGAGAAAATCAATAGATAAATATATCCTAAAATCTATTTTTACAGGTCTGTTGTTGCAAGTTTCTAAGACAAATATCATTGCTCTTACCTGTGGACATAAATAGTCTCCTCATCACTGCTCATCACAGCTTCTTGTGATTTTAAATACAAGTATTTGAAAAGCTTTTCAACTCAATATGACACAGAATCTAATTTGATGTGACCCATAGCCTGAGAAACACAGCTGATTTTTAGGATTGTAAGAATATTTGGATTTAAAATACTTTGGCTGTGGTATGGAGGTGTGTTCTGAATTCACAAATACACTTTACCACAGTCAGGACACAGCTGGCATCATTTAAGGTGCCTCATTAATGGTCAGATGATCTAGTGGACGCTGGTAGGTATCAGTTAGGAGAAGACTGCCAAAGAGTTTCCAAAGCATCTGGAAAACAAAGAAACTCTGATGATATACTGGAAATAATATGCAGCCGCAGCAATAGTACCATGAACTTGATGAAACAACGTGAAAGAACTGATCCAGTAGGCTGTTAGAGGGCCATTCAAGGAGCTGGTGGGCTCTTTAGATGGAACAAGTGACAACAATCTTCTGTGTTTCTGTTTGGGCTACATGCTCAGGTGATAAAAAAGGTTGGTGCTACCAGAAACATGTATACAAATGTATTGTGTTTTGAGGAGAGTTTTAAAGAGTAAACCAATACTCCACATCACAAGAAATGAAAGACAGGGAAGCATGGGAGTGGCAGCATCATGATATAGGGTTGATTTTAATTGTGACTGATTCCCACCGCTAGTTAGTGTCAGAAACTTCAGGCGTCAGATATGAAGCCAAAGATACGCTTTTTTCATGGCTTTAAATCCAATATAGCTGAAAAAATTGCTAATATATATTGACTATTTAAGACCTGTGGTGCTGGTGGACCCCTACCCAGAGAGAGTGGTTCAATACTTTTTACCTTCCAATAAATATTCCAGATGGTTTCCCAACAGGTTGAAGGTCAAATTATAGGTGAAGGCATATTTTAAAGGTTTTTTGTTTTAAATCACAGAGATTTGGTGAGAAATGCGAGAACTTTATTTATAAGGCTGCAATAGGCACCACAATCAATACTAACCTCCGATGTTAACATCATAGCTGCATTGAAATATGTTAAGTGGATTATAGTTTTAGATTCTGTCTGTTTTGAATGTGAAGCAGTGTGCATCATTCTAGAAAGAAAAAGAGAAGTGGTGTGACTGCATACTTCCAGTATGACCTCTGATCTCTGCCATGCAGGAATCTATGTGTGCTCCAAGTGTAACCATCCCCTGTTCTCCAGTCGGTCCAAGTTCCCTCACTCATCTCCATGGCCGGCATTCACCGACACCATCAGAGAAGACAGTGTCACTAAGATGATGGAGACCCTCACTGCCTACAAGGTCAGGGATCTGCCTTCTGATGTATTTTAGCCAGAACCGCTGCCATGAAGGTAATTGATCTAATGCTGCATGTTTCCAGGTTCTGTGCGGAAAGTGTGGCAACGGACTAGGCCACGAGTTTGTAAACGATGGTCCAGAAGAGGGAAGGTCCCGTTTTTGAATCTTCAGCCACTCGCTGAAGTTTGTCCCAAGGAGAGGTACTAAAGACACTCTTGGTTTCATTCTGAGGTCTTTTCTTTTTTTTTTCTCTGTGTCCTGTCTGGCAATGTGGCAATAAGAATAACTGTATTGATGCCAAAAAGAGCCCAACAGATTTTACTTTCACAAGTAGAGCAGTACAGCTTTTGCCATGGTTTTCCGCTTGATTTATGCATATAAATACCTTTAATATAATTCATGCAAGGAGTATTACAGATTATGTGGACACTTCAATGGGAATGTAGAAGACGAAAGGAAAAAAAAGATGAAAAAGAGGAGATAAAAGGGAGAAAATGATAAAACCCTGATTCTGGGGTCTTCTTTAGGTACTGTCACACCGAACACAAATTTTGTTGCTTGTTCCCATGTTACCTCTATGTAGAGGGGGGATCTTGAGTGAAGCAAAGCTGAGAGCGGTGACAGTATCAAAGTTGCCAACATTTGATCACCATCTCGCCTGCAAATGAAATTGAAAAATCTGAACTTTTGTTTAGAATTTGCGTTGGAAAAACAAGTTGCGGACTTAATGCAGCCTATATACAGTTACAGTTATAGTTTTTTTTTTTTATTTAAAATGGAAGTTGAGAAAATAATGTTGACAAAGGAGGAAGTAGGAACGCTCTTAAGAGGATTTAAGGTGGCTTTTAAAAAGCCGTTTTAATTTAGCCCTAGATCAGGGGTAACCAATTAAAAAACAGCGGGTCCAAATAAAGAAAATCATCAACCACTGTACAGTAGGTAAGGAGACATTTTTAATTATAAAAGACTGAAATAAAAAGCAGGTTTTTATGAATCCATGTTATACATTGAATTTTTAAATAAAAAAATAATAAAAATAATTTTTTTAAAGTAGAGAACAACAGTAGTCGAGTTTGGTATATAGACAATTTCCTGAGTCACAGACTTTACAAAACACCTGAACTGAAATTGTTATTTTTCTTTTTTATAGCTTAATGAAAGCAGTGGGCGTTACGCTGCCCTGCAAGGGTTNAGGCTGTTAGAGGGCCATTCAAGGAGCTGGTGGGCTCTTTAGATGGAACAAGTGACAACAATCTTCTGTGTTTCTGTCTGGGCTACATGCTCAGGTGATAAAAAAGGTTGGTGCTACCAGAAACATGTATACAAATGTATTGTGTTTTGAGGAGAGTTTTAAAGAGTAAACCAATACTCCACATCACAAATAAAAGAAAGACATTTCTACAGGGAAGCATGGGAGTGGCAGCATCATGATTTAGGGTTGATTTTTTTTGTAACTGATTCCCATTCCCATGGCTTTAAATCCAATATAGCTGAAAAAATTGCTGGATATATTGACTATTTAAGACCTGTGGTGCTGGTGGACCCCTACCCAGAGAGAGTGGTTCAATACTTTTTACCTTCCAATAAATATTCCAGATGGTTTCCCAACAGGTTGAAGGTCAAATTATAGGTGAAGGCATATTTTAAAGGTTTTTTGTTTTAAATCACAGAGATTTGGTGAGAAATGCGAGAACTTTATTTATAAGGCTGCAATAGGCACCACAATCAATACTAACCTCCGATGTTAACATCATAGCTGCATTGAAATATGTTAAGTGGATTATAGTTTTAGATTCTGTCTGTTTTGAATGTGAAGCAGTGTGCATCATTCTAGAAAGAAAAAGAGAAGTGGTGTGACTGCATACTTCCAGTATGACCTCTGATCTCTGCCATGCAGGAATCTATGTGTGCTCCAAGTGTAACCATCCCCTGTTCTCCAGTCGGTCCAAGTTCCCTCACTCATCTCCATGGCCGGCATTCACCGACACCATCAGAGAAGACAGTGTCACTAAGATGATGGAGACCCTCACTGCCTACAAGGTCAGGGATCTGCCTTCTGATGTATTTTAGCCAGAACCGCTGCCATGAAGGTAATTGATCTAATGCTGCATGTTTCCAGGTTCTGTGCGGAAAGTGTGGCAACGGACTAGGCCACGAGTTTGTAAACGATGGTCCAGAAGAGGGAAGGTCCCGTTTTTGAATCTTCAGCCACTCGCTGAAGTTTGTCCCAAGGAGAGGTACTAAAGACACTCTTGGTTTCATTCTGAGGTCTTTTTTTTTTTTTACTCTGTGTCCTGTCTGGCAATGTGGCAATAAGAATAACTGTATTGATGCCAAAAAGAGCCCAACAGATTTTACTTTCACAAGTAGAGCAGTACAGCTTTTGCCATGGTTTTCCGCTTGATTTATGCATATAAATACCTTTAATATAATTCATGCAAGGAGTATTACAGATTATGTGGACACTTCAATGGGAATGTAGAAGACGAAAGGAAAAAAAAGATGAAAAAGAGGAGATAAAAGGGAGAAAATGATAAAACCCTGATTCTGGGGTCTTCTTTAGGTACTGTCACACCGAACACAAATTTTGTTGCTTGTTCCCATGTTACCTCTATGTAGAGGGGGGATCTTGAGTGAAGCAAAGCTGAGAGCGGTGACAGTATCAAAGTTGCCAACATTTGATCACCATCTCGCCTGCAAATGAAATTGAAAAATCTGAACTTTTGTTTAGAATTTGCGTTGGAAAAACAAGTTGCGGACTTAATGCAGCCTATATACAGTTACAGTTATAGTTTTTTTTTTTTATTTAAAATGGAAGTTGAGAAAATAATGTTGACAAAGGAGGAAGTAGGAACGCTCTTAAGAGGATTTAAGGTGGCTTTTAAAAAGCCGTTTTAATTTAGCCCTAGATCAGGGGTAACCAATTAAAAAACAGCGGGTCCAAATAAAGAAAATCATCAACCACTGTACAGTAGGTAAGGAGACATTTTTAATTATAAAAGACTGAAATAAAAAGCCGGTTTTTATGAATCCATGTTATACATTGAATTTTTAAATAAAAAAATAATAAAAATAATTTTTTTAAAGTAGAGAACAACAGTAGTCGAGTTTGGTATATAGACAATTTCCTGAGTCACAGACTTTACAAAACACCTGAACTGAAATTGTTATTTTTCTTTTTTATAGCTTAATGAAAGCAGTGGGCGTTACGCTGCCCTGCAAGGGTTGAAACCTGGGTTTGAATGGAGACAAAGCCATTCTAAAGCACATATCAAGGTGCTCATTCATGAGTCTGGATTGATATTATTTTTTATTCTTTATTTATTATGTTCATGATGGAGAATCCTGCTTCACAGCAGCAGGTTGAGTCAAACAAACTCAAAATGTGCAGGGTCATCTTTGAGCACACCATTTAACTTTTCTGTCATCAGTTCACCACAGTTCTTCCAGCAGTCCACACTTTCTCTGCTTTCTTTTTCTCATCGTCTTCACCTTCTTTCCCATCGCCCAGCTTGCCACAGCTTTGATTGCTGTGTCTTAAAGTAGGTTTCACGTTCAGTGTGAACGCATCTTTATTGTTCTGTCAGAAATGCAACACATTAACAGCTCATGTTCAAGACTCTGCTTGGATCTCCTGTTTTTTAACGGACTGACCGAGTCTGCTGGTAGGACAGACCTTTGTTTTTATAGATCATCTTAGATTATGAACATCAAGTTGAGGCCTTTTTTCAGCTTAGTGGAAGTTTAGGAGCCATTCTTCTTCAGCTCAGATTTTTGGGTCATTATGTCGTTTGAAATCCAATAGAATTTTGTGATTAAATGTTTGCAAAAGTTTCATGACCTGTTTTTGTTTCAGCAAAGCAAAACCAGAGCATGAAGGTGCCACCACCCTGCTTTAAAGCAAGCATTCCTCCTATCAGTCAGTGCTATATACACTCTGATTGGACTCTTGTGTTTGAGTCCAGCTGCTCCTACCATAGAAAGTGTTTAAAATGACAGAGCTAAGCTTTATTATACAGTAAATGTTTATTGGACACCCAAACCGAGAAAACATGACTGCAATCTAGAGTTAAGCTTTTAATGCCCCCGATAAATGACAATCTTGTATGATAACCCTGCTACATGGCTTTTATGTTACAGATAAGGACAAGCAGTAAGGAGCGAGAATAAGCAGCTATCTCTGTGTTGGTCCAGTTAAAAGGTCTGGTCAGAGTGTGACGTGGACAGGGGAAAGGCCTGGAAGGACTCCCTGCCTGCTGAAGGATCATTGATCGACCTGGAGGGCACATCTACAAAGATTCTTGTCAAAAATACAATCTCAGCAGACATTTCAGATGTTTGGTAACCATAGAAAAACAGAGCAGAAAGCAGCAACCTTTGAATTCTGCCTGTTGAAGGTAAAAATATGATCTATGCACTGAAATCAACATTACTATGTGATCATCTGTGTTTCCCTCAAGCTGGTATGTAACTTACTGATGGCACATGATGCTTCCTTCTGTTTAACAGTAAATAAGATGAATTAAAGAACAAGGTTTTTAGTTGTCTGTCATAATTTGAATGTTTGGTAAACTCTGACTTTTAGGTTTTTAGTTGAGTATGTGCCGTTTTGATATGTTTAATGACCACACTTCAGTATGTCAAATATTGTTCTGTGAATGCACGCCTAACTGGTTGTTTGATAGAACAATAAATGAAAGTGTGAATCAAGCTCAAATAATAGTCGAAGAGATAACTCTGCACCAGTGGCGGCTGCTGCCCTCCGAAACAGGAGAGGCTCAGTGGTGTTAATTAAATCCAAGCGTCACGTATGGCATTAGCAAATTTCGAAACACATGAAACACATCACAATGGGTGAAAATAGTGAAGCAATCTGAAATAATAAACCTCAGAAACAATGGTAAGAGTTCATCCCAAGATAACTGTTCTGACTGAGTGATCTCTTTTGTCTCTCGACTCATGGGGAAAACCTCCTCACTGTCTGCACACTGTCAGTCAAAAATCCTTAAGTTTGTTTGCCAATCAGCATCAGCAGCCAGCTTCACGACCCGCCCCTGCTGCCTAGACCCCCCGACAGGCTGAGCCTCACTGGAAGTGATGTATTTTGGTGTCTTATCCAATCAGGGCTCCACTTACCTCAATAGACCGAGGCTCAAACCTCAACAGGGACTTCTCATAGAGATGGACAGGCAGCAGAACAGAGGGGAGATCGCGTCCAGAGCAGAATAAACTGCTGATTAAAATCAGCCGCATTTTAGTTCTTATTTAATGCAATTTAATGGCTACATTTATGAAGTTCAAAAATGCATATTTTACCAATAGTTTTACAGAATTTACAGGGGAGGTTTAGCCTCCCTAGTATTCAAGGAGAAAACGCCACTGCTCTGCAAATGTAGGGAATAACTCACCACAACTCCATTTCAAAATAATAAATAGCTGATTTGGCCCACATGGTGCAAAATGCTGGTGGAGATTTCAGTCATCCAGCTCATTATAAAAAAGTAAAAAAAAAAAAAAACACTGGACTTTGTTTACCAAGTTGAAGATGTTTCACTTTCCATCCAGGAAGCTTTTTTAATTGTCCATAGTCCAGAGGCATGGGCCAGTATCGGGTATTGCAGGCCAAAAACAACCTCAACAACTCCCTTTTACTAAGGAGTGAAGCTGTTCTTTCGGTTCAATTTGCATGTTTTCTAAGCCATAACAACGCTTTTGTTTGGGCGAATATATAAAGCCTGGAATTCAACGCGAATCCAGACATTTTGAATTGAAAAAGCTTCCTGGATGCAAAGCGAAACATCATCAACTTGGAAAACAAAGTCCAGCGTATTGTTTTTTTAACTTTTTTTTTTGGAATCACATAATGCAAAGTTTTGACAGAACATCTCTAGATCAACCCCAGCCCTGGGTTCTTCAGCTCCGCCATGACAGTTTCAGCAGGATGTGGCACTGAGGTCGATGATGAAGCAAGATTGATCTTTATCTGCTGAACAACTTCCCCTCAGCAGTATGTTTTGGATCAATTCAATCTTTGCAAAACTAAATTGGTTTAAATCTTCAAGTATACTGTTTTAAATACATATTTAGTTACAGGTTTGCTGATATCAAAAGAGTCCTTAATGTTATGTACTTTAGCAAGGTTGCTTCACAGTACCTTTCATTGGGTGTACTCATCATATGTGTCAAGCTCAATTTTTGTCTCATCTGACTTAAGCACACAGTTCATGCCAAGGTCCAGGTGATGTTTTTACAGATAAGAGACCTTCTCCTTTCCCACCTTCTTATCAACTCTCAAGAAAAAACGTCACATTTGGTGAAACTTTAATTATATAACACTTTCTCAAATTGAATCATTGGAATCCCATTTCTAGAGGTTAATCAGAATGCCTTGAAGGGTCGAAATTATAGTATGTCTCAAATTGACCTTCAGATGGCGCCATCTCCCTGGAAAAGACATGTTCCTCCTTCTGTACGTCTGCTTAAACCAGGGGGAGGAACTATGTATTTGACATGAAAGTGTCACCAACAATAATTACAGATGTTGGTTTCTTCTGCAGCATGCAGGACATATTCTGTAGGTTCTGAGGCCCCTTGTGCTCTAGGAACCCATTGACTGGAATGTTAATATGCAGAAAGGCGGTATGTTCAGAGGTAAACTTCAAACAAACATCTGCATGCATGAAGACACCAAAATCAAAGCTATTGCAAGTTGTACCCCATTTTCCTCTATTAATATAGCCTGTATTCCATTTAGCAGCGTTGCCATTTGTTGCTGACTTTCAGTGCCAGGCTACTGTTATTTACAGTTTTCTGTTTATAAACGTTTAGGCATCACTTTCTGCCATGCAAGCTACCGGACGTTTGCAAACGAATGTCTGCTGTCAGAGCTGCTAAGAGGCCCAACCTGGCTTTGTGGTTCTTAAGGTCGGGTAGACTTTCTTTTGGTCTTGTCTCTGCAGCTCAAACACTTGGTTCAGGTTTCAGCCTCACTGTACAGCATTTACTTTAGTGGAAACTCACACCAGAACCTTGGCTGAGGCAATTTTGCAAAGAGTTACTGTGGAAGATTAGCACAAAATAAAAGCATCAGATACCAGAGATGAGGTTACAGACCCAAATAATGTCTGCCAAACAAGAGCATTCCTCTTGACTGGATCTGATCTTAGTCGTAAAACAGATTTTATGTAGCTGCTTATGATAAACATCTAAAACACAGGTGACAAACTTAAGCCCTTATGCTTTCAAATGTGTCCCTGCATTGCTAACAGTTATGGATTATTATATCACAAGCTATGAACGTTATGCCAGGACTTTATGGTAAACAAACTATAACTACAGCTCCAGGCTTGCATTGCAGCCATGAGTCACTAGAGGTGATAGAACCAGCAGCAAGCCACCATCTGGTCTCTTTCCCCCGTAAGTGTTGCTTTCAGATCCAAGTGTAAACAGATGGCTGATGCTGGTCAAAGCTCCTCTAGACTCCCCCTTTCATACCTTTCAAAAAGAGGCTTGATTAAACTCAGAGCCTGCAAGAACAGGTCATCTGCAGAGGTTCCTGATTTGTCTTCTGGTCAAAACCATTCCAGCAAGACCAAACCACCTCTGTTCTTGGTTTAAGAGGGAATTCTCGGGATAGCCGGAGACTATTCCTCCATTCCGTTCTGAAAGCCCACTTAAGTTGTGGTTTAACTAAATACTTTGGCCAAGTGACCAAACATAACCACCTGTTTGCATCACCATAGCTTTAACTGTAGCCATACATATATACTTGCCTTCTTTTCTTTACCCCACTTCCTAAGTGCTTTCCAGAAAGAAGCAGTGGAACAGTAAACCCTTTGTATTGTGTTTTTTTTTATTTTTATCAATTGTTAGTTTATTAGTACCTGGGCAGGGGCTTAATAACATATAGGCTTTAATTCTCTTATTTGCTTCAGAAGACGTTCTCTTGACCTTTCTGCTGGGTGTTGTATTTTGTGATTTGATAACAATGATACTGTTGGATTTCTGTAAAGGACAGGCTGCCAGTTGGTTATAGATCATGCAAACTGCTCTCTCTCCTTTTCACTTTCTCATTTTTCGGTGTTCCTGTTGGCTGTTAAAGCTAGCTACTGTTATGTTTATTATCAAATTGTCTGAGTGGGGAGCCCCTCCTCTCCTTCTGTTGCTACAAGTGGGTGCCATTGTACAGAGCTCCATTAATGCCATATTCCAAATTCTCTTTAAAGCTGTTCCTTTTATATTTTCAAATAGTTTATTGACTTATTATTTAGCATTTAATTAAAGGTATAGTG